TCTCTCAGACAGACCTGATCTAGCTGACTACGGCCCCTCCCCGTCTCATGCTACAGCTTTACCACTCAGATGGCCAGACCCCTAGTGTGGCCTCTGAGTGCCTGCACTGCTGCGGACTGACTGGCACCCAAGGAGCTGAGTATTTGGGGGTGCTCCTGACCCATGGGAGGCGTCAGGCCATGGGAGACCCTGACACGCCAGAGGGGCCTGCGCTTCCCAGGCTCACCTAGCCATGGGTGGGGAGTGCCACCTCCTCTGGCCACACCTCACCATGCGCCCTGCCCTTCTCCAGTGGTTCCAGTTTGTGGCAGTCTCAGGCAATCACTACACCCACATGAATGAGCCCCACAAAGTGGCCACCATCACCAACTCCTTCTTACAAAGTAAACATGGGATCCCAGCCCAGCTGGAGCTCTGGGCCTGGGGCTTCAGCAACCTTGTGCTCACCAGATTTACCAGCCCCCACCTGGACTCCAGCTCCCATGCCCCCCAGCAAGGCCAGGTGTGGCGGGCATGGGCCCCGGTAGTCTTGAAGACCAGCACAGTTGGCAGAGTTAGGGGGAAGGGGGCAAGATCATGACTTTACCACTCGTGACTTCAAGAGGGTCTCCTTCCAGTGTCTGGACTTGGGGGGCATCTATCTTGTCTTAATGATCTGCAGTGAGCACGCAGCAGCCAGAGAAAGGAGGGGCCAGGATAGCACACCCAGGCCTGCAGCCTTTCCCTGCTGCCCAACTGCATGAAAAATACAATGTTCTTGTGTTTCCAGTGCTTTTGAGGCTGTTTCACTGCCAGCAGGGGCTTTTCCATTGAGAGAAAGGGGAGAATAGAGCTGGTCTTGGATCTAGTTTCCTTGAGAGGAGAGTCTGTAGGCAGGAGAGGGAAGGAGCCACTTCCTGAGTCCACGTCTTCCTGCTGGGCAGGCCTCGCCAGCACTGGGCCCAGGGCGGCTGAAGCACAATAATCAAGGGTGACACTCCCTCACTCCAGCCTGCACGTCTTCCTGCTGGGCAGGCCTCGCCTGCACTGGGCCCAGGGCGGCTGAAGCACAATAATCAAGGGTGACACTCCCTCACTCCAGCCTGCGTGGGCTCAGAGATGGGGCTGCTGGACACGATGGCCCCTGGGCCTAGTGCCAGTTCCCCAGAGAACGGCCTCTTTGGATGTGTTGCAGACCACGCCTGGCCCCCAGTTCTTGCTGGTCCCACACCTCTACCCACTCGCTGCTGCTCTCCACGGGGGCCCACGGCCAGCATGGCTCAGTAGGGTCGGAATTTGCGCTGGGCTCGCATCAGTTCAATCCTCTGCTTGTCCTCTTCAAACTTCTTGCGCAGCTGTGCTAGATCTGCAGGCATGAGGGGACACAGGGCAGGGTCAGACAGGGTGCCCTGCGGGGGAGCTGCACCTGCGGCACCCACTAGAGGGCGCTGGCTCAGCACCGCTGGCCCTAGCCCCCAACCCAGGCTCAACTTTGGGGACATGGTCTGGATCCTGCAAGGGATGGGAACAAAACTGCAGAGTCAGAGAACAGGCAGGGGTGGGAGATGACAGCAGGCTGAAGATTGTGAAACAGAAAATGTGAAAAGAGAAGCAGCACAGAGAAAGCAAGAAGGCTCTCTTACCCCCACCCCAAGGTGAAGGGAGGAGGCTCTGGACATTCTGGGGACCCCCAGCAACACATCTCCCTCTACAAGCCCTGACTGTGCTGAGGGCCCCAGGAATTAGTAAAGGGACTCTACCCCCAGCACCACTGAATTCAGATAGTGGATCTGGTCACCAAGTGACATGAGTCAGAGGGCACTGGGGTCTGGAGCCCAGAGCAGGGAAGGCTGATTGATGGAGGCCTGCTGCTGGGTGAAGTGAGGGTCTACGGAGAGGACAAGAGCAGGAGTGAAGGTGCGGGAGGGGCAGCGCAGTCCCTGTACCCAGGCTGTGGGGTACTGAGCTCAGCAGTAATACTGCCAAGCGTGGGCCGCAGGGGACTGGGTGCTCGGCACAGGGGCACTCCATGCAGGGAACCGCACCCCCCCTATCGCGCTACCCCCAACCTCCCACAGGCTCTCTCTGTCCTTGCTGGTGGAGACCAGCAGGCGCCAGCACTAACCGCTCAGGGGTCTGGAGGCGGGTCCCACGTCCCAGGGGCTTCCGTGGAGCTAACAAGCCCGGGCCCCACCCACTGAGCAAATGCGGCTGCCTCTGGGGACGACCACACGGGATCCTCCCAGGCTGGACTGCGACCCCAGAGCCAGCTGGGGGGCCTGTGCCTAAGTACGCCCTCCACCCCCCAGGTCCAGTGCCCGGCCTCCGGAGCTCTGGCCACAAGGCCTCACCCACGGCTGGCACCAAGGGCAGTGGGGCCTGAGGCCAGGAGGGGACGCTCCCTTACGCTCCATCTGGGACTCTCGGTGCTGCCAGGCGTAGAAGTTGAGCAGCTCCTTGCGGGCGCGCTTCCGCTTCTCCCTCTCCAGCACCCGCAGGCTGGCTGCCTCGGTCCGGGGAAGCACGGGCCGCCGGCCGCGACGGGTCACCTTCACCCAGCCCTCCTCGTCAGGTACTCCATCCTCCTCCTTGGCCTTAGCCTCCTCCTGGAAGGACCACAGCCCTGTGCATGCGCGGGCCCCTTGGCAGCAGGGTGCTCCTGGGCCAGCCCCAAAGCCTGCAGGAGCCCCCCT